CTTACAAGGTGGTGGAACTTGGGGATGTCCATTTACCCCGAGGGAAAGACACCCTAGCCTCTTGCATGGAGGAGGATTAGCATTAGAAACCCTCCTACTTGCAACCTCTTGAAGGACATTTTTGTCAATTGACTTAGGAGCTATAACTATACATTTAGAGGAAAAAACTACAAGATTCCAAGGATCAGAGGCAATCAGAGAAGGACCAAGCTGACACTCAAAGAGCGCTTTATCACTCATAAGGTAGGACAGATCCTTGGTAAGTTAGTCAAGAGTTTTCTTGACCTGAAGTTTTAACTCAGGGGGCAAGGGATTTGATTTACCTACATTTCAGGAAAGTAGAAGGTGAAAATTCAACAAAATTGCATGAAAAATCACACCAAAGAAAACCCACTTATGAAGAGAAGGGGTGGGAGATCCCCATAGATGAGGAACCAAGAAAGATCTATTTAGGGGAGCCTCTGAAGACCCAAATTCCCAGTCAGGTCTTGAGACAGAATAATTTGTCTTTCCACTCTTTTCATATTCGAATAGTAGCCCATTAGTAAGTTTGGCCCTTCTATCTTTGAAAGGTAGAACCACCCCGAACCTTGCCCAGGGTAAGAGGTGAGTTTGTAGTAGTGCATGAACTCGACAAAAGTGGATTGTATGCCAATGCCATTGGCCCTAGCACAAATGACACCTATGCCAACCAAGAATCCCTAGTTATTTGGGGTCAATTGAGTAGGAGCAAGATTCAAGAGGTGGGAGCGCTTCCCTAATATATTTAGGCATCGGGAAACAAAGTACAACCTCAAAGATGGAATCATGAAAGCAAACTTTATTGGGCAAAAAAAAAGTTGCCAATCTCATTAAAGGAAGGAACCCTAATGTGCACAAAATTGGGGATCTGGTATACCGCTATAATTCATAGCACTTATAACTCATAGGTCCGAATTAGGGGCAATTGATAATGATAAATTAGGCACGAGCTCGACACATGAGTTCTACTACTGAGAGGATGAGCTCCATCACTTGGAAAGGCCCTCAACACCTTGACTAATTCAAACTAGTTGAGATATTCACGGTAATAGGTGCCCTTGTTTGTTCCACTTCTGGTGCCGCCCCTTTCAAATAGTAGCTGAAAATCTTCAACAGTCCAATCTTTCAACCTATAAAAATGCCAAGCTAGGCATCCTCCATGTAGGTTGATTTCTCCTAGTTGAATACAATTTTCTTCAATCATTTCTTTCTAACTTTGTCATTGGATGGTCGACCACTAGATTCCTTCTGGTCCTCGAATTCACTTGCAGGAATACTCCCGCCAATTGCCAAATCACAATTTTGGTCATCTACCATAGTGAACAATTTTTTGGGATCAATGAAAACCATCCAATAAATCCTCACGGGGCCACATCACTTTAGGAAGTTTGTATACTGACGCATCAATATTTAACCAAATCTTCCTAGGAGTAGCATATTAACCCTCAACCTTGAACCTACGTGAATGAATTATGGTTTTGGAACCTCATAAGAAACAAACACCCCACTGCAAGTAATAGGGAACCTTCAAATCCCTCGAGGTAAGAAACTTGTCTAAGAACTTTGTGATATATGTTCGAGTCCATTCAAGTTCATCAAACCCACTAATACAAAAGATTTAAATCACACTTTCCAAATCAATCACGTATACCACAAACATCTATTTTCGTATTTCTTACAGCAAGAGAAAGTTCAATAAAGCACACATGAGATTGTAGGAAAAATATTATCTACTTATCATTATTTAAGATCTATGGTTTATAAACTCAAAGCACGTGAAATCGAAAATAGGTATGTTTAATAAGATTTCATCATGCTTTTTCAATAAAAATAAAAATCATTGTAGCATATATTATTTACACGTATATGAGTCAAAAAGTAAATATATATATAAATGAATAGGGAAGTGAACAAAAAAAATCCTACCTAATTCCATAGAAATTGATCCTATGCACAGATCCCAAGAATCCTTGGTCCGATCTACTCTTAAACCTGCTCTTGGCTCTCTNATAAATGAATAGGGAAGTGAACAAAAAAAATCCTACCTAATTCCATAGAAATTGATCTTATGCACAGATCCCAAGAATCCTTGGTCCGATCTACTCTTAAACCTGCTCTTGGCTCTCAGAATCTCTCCTAGGCTCTTTAGGGTTGAAACTTGTGTAGAATAATCCTCAAAACTAGTTGCTATGATATTTATAGTGCCAAAACTAAGTCAAACGACGGACACTAATTGGGTCAATTTTACATGCGAGTCCGGTGTATACTTCTCCCAAATCCCTCTCTTATAGTCATTCCCCCACACATGGAGTATATTCGTGGTTTGGAAACCACTACTGCTTACACTAATGTGTAGCAATAATTAGCCTTTCGATTTGTATAGGCCTTTTTGTTTATTCATTTCCCTCCAGTTGCTATTTCCTTCTACTAGATTTTCAATTTTANTTCTCCCAAATCCCTCTCTTATAGTCATTCCCCCACACATGGAGTATATTCGTGGTTGGGAAACCACTACTGCTTACACTAATGTGTAGCAATAATTAGCCTTTCGATTTGTATAGGCCTTTTGTTTATTCATTTCCCTCCAGTTGCTATTTCCTTCTACTAGATTTTCAATTTTATGGTAGTGCTAAGGTGCAATTCTTGTTTACTAGATAAAAAGATATCCATCTCTCTCTCTCATTCCCATCGATTTTAGGTAACTGCATATGCATATATCTGTTAAACATACACATTATTTTTCCTAGAAATCCTTAAATAGTCAAGATCTTGCCCCTATGTCAATTGGATTCGTGAAAAGAGAACTTCTCCTTCTTTGCATCAGTTACTTTTCAAGACAGTTTACACTTTAATAGCTACCATTTCATTGGCTCTAGTATTCATGGGCTTTCAAGAAATGGAATATTATCAAGCATCCTCCACTATTTCAGATAGTATTTATGGTTCTACCTTTTTCTTAGCAACTGAANAGATCTTGCCCCTATGTCAATTGGATTCGTGAAAAGAGAACTTCTCCTTCTTTGCATTAGTTACTTTTCAAGACAGTTTACACTTTAATAGCTATCATTTCACTGGCTCTAGTATTCATGGGCTTTCAAGAAATGAAATATTATCAAGCATCCTCCACTATTTCAGATAGTATTTATGGTTCTACCTTTTTCTTAGCAACTGAGATTGTATCCAAAAGTTTGATTTGATTCCATGCATAAGTTGTTGTTTATGAACCATTCAATTCCATTATTGTGCACGCTATACAAATTTCCATAATATGCTCCAAGTTAATACCAAGTATTACATGATACCCATGTTGCCATTAGTAGCACTACAATTTTATATTATAGGTAGTCTTTGCTTTACATTTCTCTCGAGAGGTATTGAGTCATCTCTTTAGTTCCAGTCCAAGAGGCCTTCAACCTAATTCTTTAACTCGAAAGCTAAAGGAATGTCCTTGGCCATGCGACTTGGGTTTTGCCTCCTACTTTTATGGTGAGTACAAGGTAAGCTAAGTGAGACTAGGAGGAAAACCATAGCTACATCAAGAAGTGTGACGTCATTAGAATAGCTATGAACTAAACTTGAATATTGTCATCAATGCTTTTACAAAAATACATTTAATTAGATGTTCTTATGTTGCTTTAAAATTAAATGAATGCCACACAAATTAATCACACTAGGACAAGACACCCTTGACCGAGATGTCATTGAATTCTTTCTTTTGAAACGGGAAAAAAGTGGTATCTTTGGACTATTATTGAGCCTTCTCCTCTCTCATAGTATAGTTGGCAAATAGAGTTCGGTTTATAAATATGCTTTGACGTAGGAATTGATTGTCTTGTGAATATTTCCTTGCCTGTGGGGACTATATGAAAGCAAACGCTTCATCATTAAACCAACGTAGAGGTTAACAGAGCCAATTGTTTGATGTAATTGGTGGAATATGTATTTTGATTCTTCATGTGGGCGTGACTGGGTGACTAGGTGTGCGTGCTTATGGAATCATAAGTTTATACTTTATTTTATCAAGCATAAAGAAGGGTTGAAAACATTATAAAGAATAATCATTTCAAGTAACTACTGTGGCGAAATGACCCTTTCANGAATCATAAGTTTATACTTTATTTTATCAAGCATAAAGAAGGGTTGAAAACATTATAGAGAATAATCATTTCAAGTAACCACTGTGGCGAAATGACCCTTTCGNTCAAGCATAAAGAAGGGTTGAAAACATTATAAAGAATAATCATTTCAAGTAACTACTGTGGCGAAATGACCCTTTCAGTGCATGTTTAAACATGCTGCCAATTTTATCATTAAGTGCAAATGAAATACAGTGGCAAAACATAATAGGAAAAAGGATATATGTCAAACCTAACTCTACGGTGAAACCCTTTATCACGATGAAACCCTTTCTCTCTCAATACCCTTGACGGCGCGCCATGTTCACCTCCCTTCCACCGCCTCTCCCATCCTTTATCCTTCTTCACTAAGCTCTTTCACCATACAAACTCCACATCAATTCCTTACAAAACCATTTAATTTGTCCCCAACCCCTCCCCCACTTTCCAGATCCCCAAATCCATTACCCTAGATTTTCTCTTCCTACCCAAACCCCAGCCGTATATCTCTGTTAATCCACCCCCTAATTCTATAGCTCACCTTTTTTCACCCACATTTACTTCCTACCATGAATTCCTCTTAACCCCCAAGGCACCGCTAGTGCATTAATTACCACACAGGGCACTGAATGTCCAACTAGCCTTAAGGGATCTGATAATGCCCATTTTCATTGCACTAGCTACGGTTCAAATTNCCAAGGCACCGCTAGTGCATTAATTACCACACAGGGCACTGAATGTCCAACTAGCCTCAAGGGATCTGATAATGCCCATTTTCATTGTACTAGCTACGGTTCAAATCNGCTAGTGCATTAATTACCACACAGGGCACTGAATGTCCAACTAGCCTCAAGGGATCTGATAATGCCCATTTTCATTGCACTAGCTACGGTTCAAATCCAACATATGGGGTGTAATAATCGCCCTCTTAAAGTCCCAATAGGGAACTCTAAACCTATTAATGGTGGGCAGATCCTTGCCAGCCCAGGCAACATAAATGCTTGGGTATCCATAAGTATAGAAACACCAAGGAAGAAAGCTACCATGGGAGCTCAACAACCCTACAAAGTTGTGGGTATATAGTAACCATCAATAGGTACGACTATGACACCCTGGAACTAGGTTTAAAAANCTTGGGTATCCATAAGTATAGAAACACCAAGGAAGAAAGCTACCATGGGAGCTCAACAACCCTCCAAAGTTGTGGGTATATAGTAACCATCAATAGGTACGACTATGACACCCTGGAACTAGGTTTAAAATTTTGGAAGGGTAGGTACACTAAATTCGTCTCAGAATGGTGGCCAATGTCCAGAAAACTCATTAGGGGTGTGAAGCTTAGATTTTACCCAAAAAAGAATTGAATAGATTTGTTGTTCAACCACCAGAAGAAGTTGGAATGTAGGGGAATTTGGGGTGGGAAACTTGTCTTGTTGGCTACTTTATTGAGAAGAAACTTCCTTATACCACTATTAATTTTCTTGCACATAAGCTATGGGATAAGATGGGGCTAACTGAAGTTCTTGCTAATGATTATGGTTTTTACTTCTTCAAATTTATGGATGATGAATCAAGAACCAAAGTTTTTGAAGCTGGCCCTTGGTTCTTCTCTGGGAGAGCATTAATTTTGAAGAAGTGGCAGCATGATCTCATCTTATCTAAGAGGATCATTCCACCTTGCCTGTCTGGGTTAAGTTACACAATATCCCTCTTAAATACTAGAGTGAAGAGGGATTTAGTCACATAGCTAGTTCAGTTAAAAAAACCTTTATATGCGCATACTCTCACTGCATCCAAGAAAAAGGATCAACTTTGCTTGCATATGCGTTGAGGTGAAGGCTACTGAGGAGCTAATTGACTCGTTTGATCTTGAAATGGAAATCTCTGAGACAAAAGAAAGAGTGTATATCAAGGTAGAGTATCAATGGAAGCCACAAGTATGCAAATCATGTAAGATTTTTGGCCATAATGAAGCTTTATGCCCTAATCAAGTTCGAAAGCGAAACAACAATCCAGAACTTGCTAAACAACCCAAATCCTCTGATAGAGTTGATAAAGGAAAAACCATAGCCAATTCAGTTGTATCTAATACAATCCCAGATAAAGCTAATAAAGGTAAAGTTATAGCCACTTCGAGTGACAGAGCTGATAAAGGTAAAGTCGTATGTGAACACAATCAGCAGCAGAACCTCAATCTTACTGGCTTNAAAAGGATAAACTTTGCTTGCATATGCGTTGAGGTGAAGGCTACTGAGGAGCTAATTGACTCGTTTGATCTTGAAATGGAAATCTCTGAGACAAAAGAAAGAGTGTATATCAAGGTAGAGTATCAATGGAAGCCACAAGTATGCAAATCATGTAAGATTTTTGGCCATAATGAAGCTTTATGCCCTAATCAAGTTCGAAAGCGAAACAACAATCCAGAACTTGCTAAACAACCCAAATCCTCTGATAGAGTTGATAAAGGAAAAACCATAGCCAATTCAGTTGTATCTAATACAATCCCAGATAAAGCTAATAAAGGTAAAGTTATAGCCACTTCGAGTGATAGAGCTGATAAAGGTAAAGTCGTATGTGAACACAATCAGCAGCAGAACCTCAATCGTACTGGCTCAGGCATAACACTAGAGACTACTAGTAGGGAGACTGCCTTGCATTAGAATTCTTTGGTAACCTCCTTTACTTATGTTGAATAGATAAGCCAAACAACCCTTCTTGTTTCCCCGAATAAGTTTAATTGTCTAGTAGAAGGTGGGGGCCAAATTTTGATAGATTTATCTCCAGTCCCCATGGCTATATCTTTCCCCAATATTGTAATTCCAGCATCACCTCAAAAACTTACTAGTAAGTCTAAGAAACAGAAGAAGGTGAAGAAAAAACCCTCTGATAAGGAGAAAGAAATTTTGATTAAAAAGCCCTGAACATAAGCATCCCCACTCCTCATGTTAAATGTTGCCTACTGGAACATAAGGGGAATGAATGAATTCCATAAGTGGGTAGAAATCAAGAAGCCAGTTGACAAGCAACAGTTAGATCTTATTGGCATAGTGGAGACTAAGATAAGAAATGTAAATAGTGGTCCTATTATGCGATAAATTTTTTGGCAGTGGGATTGCCTTGCTAATTATGGAAGCAACAATATGGGCAAAATATGGATTGGATGAAAACCCATCAGTGTTGAGCTTAACTAAGATTTCAGAGTCTGAACAAGTCATTCACTACCAAGCCCACCATGTGGAGTTGAAAATCACTTTTTTTTTTGTGTCTATTGTCTATGGGATCAATGATGAGCAAGAGAGGAAAGCCTTGTGGAGCTAGTTGAGCTACCATTCTGGTATTTTTGATGACCCTTGGATTATACTAAAGGATTTTATGATGTTAGAGGAACTCATGAATCATTGGATTACAATGGTAGATGTCACAAATCTATGGGGGATTTTGATGAATGTATTCAAGAAAGTGAGTTAGTTGATCTTAGATTCTCTGGTTCCCATTACACATGGTGTAACAAAAGGGATGGGATTGACTATGTATGGAGAAAACTCGACAGAGCTATGGTGAATGACATTTGGAATTTGAGACTTCAATAATTTGTGGCTAAGTTCCGCCCCCTGGTATCTCAGATTACTATCCAGTTGTTTGTCAAAATTGGCCCCACATGTAAGAGAAGAACAAGTCCTTTTAAAATTTTCAATTTCCTTGCAGAAGGGGAAGATTTTCTACAGATTGTATATCATGCTTGGGAAGAAGTCATCCAAGATACCCTGCAATTCCAGATTTGCAGTAAACTAAATAGACTCAAAATTATTTTCAAGGAGAAATGTAGAGAAATAGGAGATATCTTAGCAAAGGTTAAGGAGATCAAAGCTAATCTTGACTAATGCCAGAGGAAATTGATGCTCAATCCTCTTGATAGCAGATTAAGGCAAGAAGAGAAACAACTTGTGGAAGTCTATATGCAAGCAGCTAAGAATGGATAAAGTTTCTTTAAACAAAAATCTATGGTTCTCTGGTTGAAGGATGGGGATAGGAACACTTCTTTTTTCTTCAAAACCATGGTTAACGGAGGAAATGGGAAGAAAATCTTATCATTGAAGAGGGCAGATAACTCGATTGTAGATATTGATGAAGTAGTCAAGGAAGAGGCCATTGGCTATTACAAGAGGTTATTTGGAATGCCTACTTCTAATCCAACCATTGACAGAAGCGGTATGCTAAATTCACTCATCCAAAAAAAGATCACTAAGGCCCAAGCTCTTAAGATGGTAGAGATAGTAACAACAGAGGAGATTAAGAACACTTTCTTTTCCTTGAATGACAACAAAGCCCCAAGCCTAGATGACTTCAATGCTCTTTTCTTTAAGAGAGCTTGGCTTGCAATTGGCAGGGACATCATTGCAACAGTCCAAGAATTTTTTGAAACCAGCCAGCTTCTCAAAAAATTCAATACAACCATCATTTGCATAGTTCCTAAATCCCCCCACCCTACTGACAAGCAGGATTTTAGACCCATATCATGTTGCAATACATTCTACAAGACTATGTCTAAAATAATTGGTAACAGGGTGAAAATTATTCTGCAAGACATCGTGGGCAACAATCAAGCTGCATTTATTCTTGGGAGGATAATTAGTGATAATATTTTAGCCTCTCAATAAATTTTGTGGGACTATAACAGGAACAAAGGTGCTTTGAGGTGGGTATGAAGGTTGGCTTGATGAAAGCCTACAACAGAGTGGAATAACGTTTCCTACTGGACAACCTTCAAGATTTTAACTTCCCTTCTCTTATGGTGAAATGGATTCAAGCATGCTTAGCCAATGCCAGATTCTCAATCAATATTAATGAAGAGCTTGCTGGTTTTTTCCTAGCTATAAAGGATTAAGATAGGGAGATCCTCTATTAACTTATCTCTTTGTTATTACTATGGAGATCTTTTCGCTTATTACTCAACGATCTATCCAATCCCAACAAAGATTTAAATTTCATTGGAGATGCAAGAAACTTAAACTCTCTCACCTTATTTTTGCTGATGATCTTTCCTCTTCTATCAGGGTGATACTTAGTCTGTTGTTGTTCTTAAAGAGGCCCTCAACCATTTCCAAGTTATATTAGGACTACGAGCTAATCCCAACAAGAGCAGTATTTTTAATTTTGGCACCTCTCCCAATACCAAGAACCACATTCTGAGCTTGTTTGGGTTTGAAGAGGGGAATTTACCAGTGAAATACTCAGGAATCCTACTCATTTCTTCTAGACTCAGAAAGCAACATTGCTCATATTTGATCAGCAAAATAGAAGCTAGAGTGAAGAGCCGGACAAACAAGTTATTATCCTATCCAGGGAGATTATAATTGATATCATTAGTGCTGTGTAGCATTAAGATTTTTTGGTCTTCTCATTTGACGTTGCCTCAGTCTATTTTGGACAGATTGGAGCAAATCACGAGATCTTTTTTTATGGAAGGGAGCTGAACTTAAGACAACAAGGGTCAAAGTTGCTTGGGAAAATGTACACAAGCCCAAGAAAGAAGGGGGGTTGGGTATCAAGAGACTCAAAGATTAGAATGACGCACTCATGGCAAGGTACTTACGGAAACTTTTTGAAGATAGGCAAAGCCTCTGGTCATAATGGGTTCATACTTACCATTTAAAAGGCAAGAGCTTCTGGGAAGCTAAGGCTTCACACACTTGTTCATAGAATTGGACCTAGATACTCAACTTGAGAAACACACTAAAACCAAATTTTCTCCATTCCATCGGTAATGGAGAACTCACATCTCCTTGGCATGAAAATNAGGCTTCACACACTTGTTCATAGAATTGGACCTAGATACTCAACTTGAGAAACACACAAACCAAATTTTCTCCATTCCATCGGTAATGGAGAACTCACATCTCCTTGGCATGAAAATTGGCATCCAAGAGGACCCCTTCTTATAGGGGAAATCATAGAATCATTCATGACTCTAGGCTGCCAAAAGATGCAAAAGTGAGTAGAATTATAACTAACAATCAGTGGGCCTAGCATCAGTTTAGATCTATTGAACTACAGGATATTGTGGACCCTATGCCTAAGTACACTCCTAACCAGTTGAGGGAGGATTCTATCAAATGGATACCAAATGCCAATGAAAAGTTTCACCACATATTCAACATGCAACCTTTTCAGAGAGGTTGGAACTGTAAAACCCCACATGTTATCTTAGTATAATGACGTAATTATGTTGTAATGATTATATATGTAATGACGTACGAATAAATCATATATGCTGTAAGAGTAGAAACACATAAGTGGGAGATAAATTGATCATTCTCAATAGAAGTTAGGAAGATAATTCCTTGATGTCATTGGGAAATTCAATTATAACTTGATGTTCTAACATCGGATTGATGTGAGACTTGGATAGCAGAAACTAAATTCTAAATACTACATATCCGTATTTCACAAAGGATTTGTGAATCTATTCAACTGTATGTTAAAACTGTGTTGGAAGTGGATGCAGAAAACTAGACTCACGTCCGAACGAAAACTACATTCGAACACTTGTTATTCCCAGGACTTTGTTGTCTGACAGAAAAGGAGATATTGGGAACAAGTCATGTTCAAACGCCAAATTCACGTTTGAACGTAGTTTGGTTACAGCACTTTGGTTTCTAATAGAAAATTTGACAGAAATTGAGATATTGGGAGCTCAAGATGTTTGAGCACAAATTCACGTTCAAAGTCGTGTTCGAAAGCAAATATCATGTTCGAACAAATGTACAATTTTAATAGTGATCAAAGTGGCAATTCCGGTTTAGATCCAACCCTAAAAATTCCCAAGGATGCCTCTTAGGTCCGAATTCATCAGTTTTCAAACCTTGAAACCCCTAAAGAGAGAGAGAAAGAGAAAATGCAAGATTCGGAGGAATTTTCACGTTGGAACAAATAAAAAGGCTAGGTTTACACACAAACTACAGATTAAAGGTAAGGGATTCTTCTTGAGTTCTTTCATTGAGACTTAGGGTATTATATGTGTATGTTTTGAATCTCCTTGATCATTATATGTTAGAAAATCATTCGTTCTTGATTTTTTTTTTTTCAATTAACATATGGTTTTAAACAAGATACACGCCTTGTGTTCAAGGAATATTGTTCTTGAGTTTCCAAAACCCTAGTTTTGCTAAATACATGCTTTAATGTGAATGATAAATAGATTATTGATTTCAAAATTCCTATTCTTGATTAAATGATGCTTCAATTTTAATACTTATTTTTGTTCCATGAAATTATGATTTTTGCCAAAATCCTAGAATTATGATATCGAAATCGTAAAGGTTTTTTTTTTATGATCTCTTACATATTTTATGTCCTTTATTATTATTGTACCTTAAGAATTGGGAAATTGTGTACTTGGATTTTGATGGAACTTGTGGTTGGTCGAGTACATGATTTTTGGATAAAGGGTGGCTTTTATCTCAGTATGGTTTGGGTGTGATGGGCTTGAATTGCCTTCGAGAGTTGTTGTAGACTGTTAGAGGTTTGTCTATCCTAGTGGGGGATGAGATGGTTGCCTAACACTTGTAGTGAGTTGTTGCTTGTGAGATCAACCACTATTGTTCACATAGGTTCAAGGCTGAGGGATGATATACATTTCTAGAAAAGAATTCGTCAATAC